CATCGAAGACTTACACAGCTATTGATTTCGGGGCTTCATTTACCGCTACAGGCCTCAGGAGGACCATTTGTCGAGACCGCAGACAGACAAAATTTTGTTCCGGACAAAATCTAACATAAATCTGTGAGAGCCAGGCTGTGAGATTTAAACACTTTAGCAATGTAGGATCATTAAAAAGATCTATGAGGTAAGAAAGTTCATGAGTGAGCTATTCTCAGATTCTGTTCACATGTTCTGTTCAGCACCAGATAGCTTTCATGATTTGAAGATAATAGAACCAGAATTTACTAAGTACTTCTATCGTAGCTTGGAGGTAATCTGTATCATGCGGATCAAACTTTAAAATGTTCGAACGTTTATGGATAGAAATTTATAACCGTCCACTCACTAGGATGTTCCTACTTATCAGGATGGAAATACAAGTTACGAAGAGAAGTAATTCAGATCGCTTTTTCTCATTTAAAAAACAGAACATCAGTTGGTAGTTGGAAGAGAGATCGTGGAGTGTCTCCCTCAATAACCATCACCGATCTCTACGGAACTAAAGGGCATGTCGATGACTAACTTTAAAGATCCAGTGCATGTTACCACCCTTCTTACCTACAGTAGGCAATGACACGACATACTGATTCTAACCGAGAAAATCCTCCCACAAAATTTATGTAAGAGCTCTTTCGTGTTGTATCCTAAATTGATCTCCTCACACAGTTAGTTCAGTAGTGAGTCTGATAGAGCGAAGATAGTAATGAGAAATATGTCGCACCAAAATCTGGTCAGCCAGCTATGCTCATTACAGAGGCGCCTGAGTTATTTCATTTCTAGCCGTAGTAAGGCATTGGATAATTTCATTCATAGTCTACCGACCTAATAATAAGAGCCAAACACAATCAAGAGCTTTTTCAAAGAATTCCATAATCTTATTGTCCTTTTGAGAGACACGCTGAATGAACAAATGGGACAAATATATTGCATACAACCGTCACAGTCCATGATGCATACTCCTCCCTTCTCTTCTATCAACAGACTAATTTTTCATTGTTTAAGCTTTGAGAAAGCGAAATAAACCTGAACGTCATATTCTTCATACACATTATTCCAGAGTATGACCAAAAAGCAACTACAATAACTAGTGTATACCAGCACGTCGTTGAGTTATTGTAAGATGTGACAGCTTCTGCTTTAGAAATCATGACTCCAATTTGTCGTAAAACAAGTATAAATTATTAGTTATAAATTTCGAGCCATCAGTTCAAATGATTCATTACATTAATTCTTTGTTTTAAATTACTTGACATGTCATCTCCATTGGGCGGTAGTTAGCTTCATAAAGTATGTGGTCCTCGTTATATTTCATTTATTGTTTATACTGATAATTTTACTCTTGTTCTTGTTAGCAACGTTTGTTTGAAGAAATTTACTCTTGTTTGCACTGTTTTTCATTTTAGAATGCTTTCAAATGTTTTTAGGTATCAGGCGTTTATACACAAATGGCAGATTACTACAGCCAAGATTACGGGTCATCAATGGATTACAATAACATGGAGACTGGTTACGGGTCTGCTGCTCAGTCTACCGCGATGGGTAATGGGGAATATGGGCAATTTTCATATGACCACATAAGAGATGAGGAAGACTACCAAGCAATTCCTCGCCCCGAAAAGCGAGTATCATCGCCCCAAACTAAATACGACTCTGGAAATGACGATCGAATTCGGGATAAAAAACGTGGGCGAAGAAAGTCGCGCAGTCGTAGTCGTGATCGTCGACGTCATAGCCGGGATCGACATCGAGACCATAGTAGAGAACGTAAATCTAGAAGACATCATTCACGTCATCGGTCAGCTTCAAGTCCTACGTTAGTATATAAGTATTGGGATGTTCCGCCTCCAGGATTTGAGCATGTAACTCCGGCACAGTACAAAGCCCTCCAAGCATCAGGTCAAATACCGGTCAATGTATACGCTGCAGGACAAGTACCAATGCCAGTTCATGCTCCGAATGCTCCTCTTACACTCACTACTAATGTTCCGTTCGCCGGCAGTGCTGTTTGCAGACAAGCACGCCGATTATACGTTGGTAACATACCGTTCACAGCAACAGAGGAGAATATGATGGAATTCTTTAATAAACAAATGCGTGCTCAAGGTTTGATTCAAGCGGAAGGCAACCCCATAATTGCTGTGCAAATAAATATGGAGAAGAATTTTGCTTTCTTGGAATTTCGTTCTGTCGACGAAACAACCCAAGGCCTTGCGTTAGATGGTGTTTTGTTCCAGAATCAAGCTTTGAAACTCCGCCGACCACGTGATTATGCCCCTCTACCAGGTGTTTCGGAACAGCCTTCAGTCATTGTTCCGGGTGTTGTTAGTACGGTTGTCCAAGATTCTCCTCATAAAATATTCGTGGGTGGTCTTCCCAACTATTTAAATGAAGACCAAGTGAAGGAATTACTTCTAAGCTTTGGCCCCTTAAAAGGATTTAATCTTGTTAAAGATGGTTCTACCGGCTTATCGAAAGGCTATGCCTTTTGCGAATATGTCGACGCAAATGTTACAGACCATGCGTGCGCTGGTTTGAATGGCATGCAATTGGGCGATAAAAAACTCATTGTGCAGCGAGCAAGTGTAGGAGCAAAGCATACTACAGGTGTTCTTCCCCAAACTTTGCTATCGTTACCAGGGTTGGAAGATGGCACTGTCCAGAACACGACCGGTTCAGGTAATATAACAATTCGTAGTGGTGGGCCGCCTACCGAAGTACTATGTTTGATGAATATGATCGAGACTTCGGAGCTAGAAGATGATGAAGAGTACGAAGATATAGTTGAAGATGTTCGTGCAGAATGTAGTAAATACGGTGTTGTTCGCAGTCTAGAAATCCCTCGACCGATCCCCGGGGTTGAAGTTCCAGGAGTTGGAAAAATATATGTTGAATTCGCAAGTCTGATCGACTGTCAAAAAGCTGCCACTGCTCTAACAGGAAGAAAATTCAACCAAAGACTTGTGGTGACGTCTTTCTTCAGTCCTGATAATTACCATCGCAGGGAGTTTTGAATCCGACTGTTTTAAGATGTATATATAATACAATTTTGATGACTTTATTAGGTTAATCATTGATATTTTACGATATTTGTGTTGTTTTTACCGGGATAGTCGTGCGTACTTTGGGTATTAAGTTTGTACCAAAACGAATGCTCGTTCGCTAAGTACATTAGTTTTTTATTCTTACCTGCTCTTCGAATCTGTAATTGTGATCACAGAAACTTTAGTCTTGCCAAATTTTCTTTACGTAGCGTGCGATTACGGCTGTATAGCGTTTTGCGTAACGTTTCCGGGAAGTCGGTACCAAAATACTAGTTTAATGCAACGTTTTGACACCGATCGGTCCCTTGGGTTAATAGTTCTTGATTTAGAGCCAACGGTACAAATGTGAGTGAAGTCGATGGCGTCGCTATTGCTTATCAGGCAAAAGGTCAAGCAACCAAACTAGGTGTGTTTATTATTGAGATTAGGTTTGTTCGAGTCTCTGCTTTCAGAAGAGTTGAGTGTAAGTTTGGGTAGGTTCTTGTGATTTAACTTGATAACCCAAAGAATTAAGAGCTATCCAAATGGTTATGCCCTTTTCCGAATACTTAGTTTGGGTTTGTATAGCGGACTGATTTTTCCTAGTTGGAATGCGTACATAGACCCAACCGAAGCCTCTAGCTATAGGTGTTGTTGCTGTCTGACTTGTGCTGACCATAAGTGTACAAATAATGCACTCCCTTATCATTACTTAGAAAACCCTAAACCACACGTACGACAGCAACCTAGGTTCGCACACGCTCCGTTGTATGGTCGTAATGAACGCATTGGCACTTACCACCGTCGAATTTGGGTGACGGTTAAGTCTTCGAAAATCTAGAGTATTAGTGTTTCCTTAAATCATAGACCATTGTATTTGGTCGCTCGTGGTGATCAAAGCATGAGAACCGAGGCCGTATGGGTGTGTTCTCTCAACTGGATGGTTTGGCCATTGAGCTGTCACAGTTATTTTGAAGTATATGGTCAGTTCTAGATAGGGTTAGAGTGTTTCCTGCATGTATGGCTCAGGTTATACGGTCTTAAAAGAAGGTTAATCACCTTTTTCCTATCGGGAATGTGTACTCATGTTAAGAGGAACATTAGACGCTCGGTAGCCAAACCATTCTGCTCCAAATACAAATCTCAAAATCGTGCGGACGTCTGTGTACTGATCAGAAATTAGTCCTCGTCGGGTTGCATGTTCGGGAGATTTGATGGCGCATATTAACGTGATCAGTCTTAAATGAACTAAGGTAATAATGGCAAAGCAAGTGGTCCTTTTGTGGAGTCACGTTAGCGTGGGCGACGTTTTACAGTTTCTAAAACAAGCGGATGGCCAGTTTTATCAGTTGTTTAGCTGCTTAGCATGAGGTATAGCTGTTAACGTCATATAATCCATAATTGCTTCGTGAGTACTTGTCCGGGCACAGACCTGGTTTACTCGCTTCGACGATGCGCGTTGTTTTGGCCCTCGCCTGAACAGTATAAACACCGAATGGCTCAGAAAGGCTAGGACCTTGCTGCCGTGTTGCTAACCCATTTGACCATTCTCACATGGGTCAATTGTATGTGGAGGTATGTTCGTGTATCATCAAAGTGTTGTTCTCCAGTCTGCAACCTATCGATAGTTTGCGAATCACTAGTCGAGAAGTGTTTATTTGCAGTAAGGGGTATAGGCTACATTAGTGTATTAATAATGAGTTAGGTTAAGCTAGAGTATTTCTTTACTGTGATCTGCCTAAACACACGGACTGGATCAGTAGATTTTCAGCAGATACTCGCAAAGACGGTGTACTCAAGTTCGAAGCATGAAACTTGCAAACGGTTCTTAATGCTATTCGGTGAGGGTTGTTGGAGGTAGGCCTACAGTGACACTAGTACACCAGTAAGAAGTCAAGTGAATGCAACCCAAAGGCTTAAGAGTCAAATAAATGAATGACATTGCGTAGCAATACATATATTTACATGTGTAGAACTAAAAGAGAAAATCAGGAGTTCAGGAAATTAAAGTTAGCTTTAAAAAGCACGTACATCGAAGTGTAATTACATCCCAAATAAAACTAGATTTAATCTTGAGGGAGGAGTTCAATCTTCAACTTGTGTCGGATTTTTCTTGTCTTCTCCATATAATTACTGAACCTTTCTCATCTGCTGACGCCAACATATTCTCGTCCCAACTGATCGCTACATCTAACACTGGAGCTGTATGTCCCTGTAAAATGGTGACAACACCCGTGGACGTTTGTTTATTGTGAAAGGAACTGTTTCCTGTTGCGAGGTCTGCATTACGATATCTCAACACATTATATAGGTATACATTGCAATCTTCACTTCCACTCGCAGCACAAGCTCCAGAACGGAATGATATGAGTGGTGCAAAACATGAGTGAATAAGACGAAGTGTTGTTGGAACGGAATTGAAAGAACGATGATGCACAGGAAACCTTTGCTCCAGAATCACGTTCCTATTATCTAGAGTTAGTCGAAGCAGCAATAACCCGATACCAGCTGCATTTATCAATAAATATGTTTCACTTTTTTCTTTGGATAGCCATGAGTATATCGAAAGACTAGTTATGCTTGGCGCTAACGATGTACCTTCATTGCGTACCGCATTATGCGTACGTGCTCGGCTCTTCAGACTGCTCCACCTTTTGAAACTTTGATCTGCTTTAGATAGGAAATAGGTTTTTCGAGTACTTGGCGGTCGTTCGTACAATAAATTATTAAGTTTTATTCCGTTCTCAGGGCAGGTTGGAACGGCAGACAGATTCAGTGACGATATGTCGACACGTTGTGATCTGATGATAAAGCCTGTTGATGGTTCACATAAATAGGACTGGATTATGCCTCGATCAGTTCCTACCCACAAGTAATTGCCTGACGCATTTTCAAAAGCCAAAGTTGTGATACATCCTGTACCCAAAAGACTCCGTAGCTCAGTAACTGACGAATTTGGACGAGTTTTGCTACCTCGAGCAGCTACGTGAATACGGTCCATGCCTCTAACACAGGTCTTACCTGTAGAAAGATTCACCATCTAAAAAGAACACGAGAAAGGGTGTGGCGTAGTAGAGACAGGTTTTGAGGAATTGAAGGAATGTTTAACCTTTGAAAATGTGAGTAACAAAAATAATCTTTAGGGCTCACTAAATGACATGCGTACAAACAAACAAGAAGAAGCTTCACACAAAACGCAAGAGTGACACGATTGTGTTCCAATAACAACTTAAATGCGGCGTCCCACGTAGGAAAAAGACAAAAGCATAGTATTCGACATATTTTCTACTACAAAATTCACCGAATACATATGAGTCCCAAATAGTGCAAGCGAATTGACTAATACCAACAGCTTTGATAAGTGAGATAAACCAACAATTGACTACAGCAAGACAACTAGGACAGAGTCGCTGTTCAGTTCTAAAAACTGATCAAATAGTCTAGGTATGTGTGGGGAGATGACAATATGCAATTCTATAGTTTACATTATCAACATTTGAGCAACGTATACATAAGTACGAGGATTAATCTGTGGTGTTATTTTAAACACGAAGTCAGTCAGTTACAAACAACATAGAACCTGGTGCGAACGTGTATCGATTCAAGTTGCCATACTCTACAGTGCAGCAAGATCAGTAGCCAAGTAGTAGTATCAGTGACACGGAAGAATATTAGATACGAGGTACAGTCCCAGGAAAGTGGAGTTGCTGAATAAAAAGTATGAAATAATTTCGAGACTACGGATCTAGGATAAAAATAGGATGAATGCACACATTTACTATATATAATACTGAATTGTTCGTTTCGTATATATACGGTATTGTGATTATTCATAACGAACAAGCACTCAATCAGGTAGCTAACGGTAAGAATTCCTAAATACAAACATGGGGAGGAATTCACGAAAATGTATTTTAACTACTTATTTTATTTAGAGATGATCTCTTTAAGACCTAAGACAACAGATAAGCATTCAATTATTATTATTATTATTTATTTCAACACATAGATAATGGTACAGAGGCACCAAATACATATGCGCCACACAAATCTCATCCGATATGTGTGAGGGCTGTGATACTGCCCGGGTGCCCAAACCGAAGCAGGTGGTTATCTTAGGGGGCCACACCCCGAGCCTTCAACCCAAAGGTCTGATCCACAAGGCAGTGGAGCATCGTAAGGAGATGCAGTCCCATGGAAGCCGGTGACCAACAATTGGTTCATTCGCCATTTGTTCCCGCAGGATACTGGAGCCCATGTGCACCATTGTTTTGGAATCCGGTTAAAGCGCCGGACATTCGCTTTTCGTCCTCTCATTTTCGTAAACAACACCCCCGCCACGAGAAGGCAGTGAGTAGGACTTCCCTGGCAGAGGCTATATACGCGTGGCCGTGTGAGAGTATTTCGAGAGGGAGAGCGGACTCTCCCCACTCTCGGCCGTACCAGGGCATTTGGGGGCATTCAATTAATTAAGGTGAAATAATTTATCTTTCAAATAATGTAATTGTTATTCTGCATAAATGTAACAATAACGTTTATCCAAATTCACATCATTTAAGGAACACCGAAGACATTGTTGGGAAATCGCAGTCTTTTGATAAGCCTACTACTTTTCGGTAGTAAATACACAGAACCCTCCTAAATATTTTCAACTGCTAGTCTGCCTATAAAGAATACTGGTGTATTCTAAGGAAATAAGTTAGACTATTTAACTAACTGATTTACCTGAATAATTCCAGTAACGCTACCAACGGCGAAAATGTTATTGTTTGCGGGTTGGAAAGCGCACGTCAATAGTGGGCCAAGTTTCAGCTCCGTACTTAAATACTCTCGTGCCAACTTAGCTTCTCCAACATCCCATAAACATATATTTCCATCTAGAGACGTACTTGCTAGAAATTCGTTGGTCATGGACCAGGCTATATCTGTAATTTCTGTTTGCTTTACACGATATTCTGGCAAAACACATGCAATGGAAAAAACCCCACTAGCTGGGGAGATACGGCAGATGGATACAGTCCCATCAGACGAAGCCAAAGCTAAACGACTTGAATCGTGGTTTGCAAAGCTCAAACGATTTACGGCGCCTAAAAGAAAGACAAACCAGAAAACAAATTGTTTAAAGTAGAGTACGGGAGGGTCAAAATATTTTGACGTTTAACATAGTGCTCTGGCTGTAATCATGGTTTGTTACGGCTACAACATCACATCTGCAATGAATAAGAATCAAGATAGTAAGGCTGATGAGAATATTTCCCAGACAATGGAGTTGGGACCACTAACATATAAATAAATTTTAGTTTGCATTATTATTTGAACGCATAAATATTGGTACAAGAATGCGTAAAATATAAATGCGCTACACAAAACAATGGGAATTTAAGGGGAAAGAAAAAAAGAATAATAACTAAGATAATGATGTGAGGTGGTGTAATAATAATAATAATGGTAAAAATGGGGGAACGGAAAGGTACAATCAGAAATCTTTCAGTTAAGGAAGACACAACAACTTTTTATGAAGAAAGTAAAAGAAGGTTACAGCAGGATCGCCACTGGCTTCTATTCTGAGCCATATCTGATAACGTCTCTAGCCACTGTGTCGCACCAACTATCTCGGACCCCAACCAGGGAGTTGTGAAGGACCAACACAAGTCAGTCCTTTGCAGCTTTCTTTCATAACACGATATCATGTCATGTACTGACCACCTTTTCGCTTTTTCCAACCAGTCAGTCCCAGAGTCGGCAAATAATGCACGACGTGAAATTGTCTGGGAGGACATTCGTAGAACACGTCCAAGCCACCGAAGTCGGTGTTTCAAGATGGAGACACCAATTGCATTATCGTCTCTGTGCCCGAACACACGATGCCGAAACTCTGCATTACTAACAGAGTCCAGATGGGTACTCCAAAAGGAGCGGCAATCTCGTACACAACCACGCCAGCGGTAGCTGATCGCGATGTGATCAATCTGAGTCCAGGCTTGAGATGCAGAGGGAGAACGCCAGGTGGCACATCGGAAGTTAGTGCTAACCAGAAACAGGTTGTGGTCTGTGCATAGTTGCAGTAGACGGTCCCCGTTATCTGTTCTGCGACCAACGAGTCTCCATCGGCCACCTAAACGACTCTCTTCTGTGCCTAGACGCCTGACCTGGGCATTCAAGTCTCCGGCTAGTACTACAATATCTGTCGAACGCACTTTCTAGAGAAGAACAGGTAACTGCTGGTAAAACTCATCCTTGATTGCATCCTGGCTGCAATCTGTCGGGGCATAGGCGGAGATGACGAAAAGACATCGTTTCTCACACCGATTTCTTCTCGTTTTGATGGAACTCTCTATTTTAACAGCACATAACCGACTGTTAATGGGGATCCAATCGACTAGTGCTGCCTCAGCTCTGGCGATCAGTGAGACACCAACGCCAGCAAGACCGGATGAAAATGCCACAGGGTCCCCGGATAAGCGCACGTAAAACAAGCCTTTCGAAGCGACAGATGAAGAGCGAATTTGTAGTACTTCACCAGAGTCTTGAATACGGGTCTCGGATAGACAGTAAACATCAATATTAAGACTTTCCAAAGACATAGCCAGCCCTATCTGTTGTCCAACCTGCATAAGTGTGCGAACGTTGAAGGCAGCCAGTTTGAATGGTGCATGTGGTTTCAGAAAAACTGCTTAAGTACTCACATTCGGTGGTAACATACAATTTTCAAATGGACAGTGACTCGAGAACGTTTAGATACAGTCGAATTTCCACCAAAGACGAACTGCTGTATAAGTCGAAAAAATAAGTATAAACAGGGTGGGAATAAAAGAGGGTGAATAATGTCGTAGTAAATAATAATAATAATAATAATAATAATAATAATAATAATAATAATAATAATAATAATAATAATTTGAATCACTTGATTGTTATTCGAAGCGAGAAAAGTAGTTTCCATAGATATAGAGAGTTCATCATTTGCGTGTGGGCTGCGATACTGCCCGGGTGCCCAGACCAAAACAGATGGTTTTCTTAGAGGGCCACACCCCGAGCCTTTGACCTAAATATCTAACCCACAAGGCAGTGGAGCATTGTGAGGAGATGCAGTCCCATGTTAGCCGGTGACCAACGATTAGTTCATACGTCATTCGTTCCCGCAGGATACTGGAGCCCACGTGCACCATTGGTTTGGGATCCGGTTAAAGCGCCGGACATTCGCTTTTCGTCCTCTCAGTTTCGTAAACAAGACCCTCGCCACGAGAAGGCAGTGAGTAGGACTTCCCTGGCAGAGGCTGTATACGCGTGGCTGTGTGAGAGTATTTCGAGAGGGAGGGCGAACCCACTCCGCTCTCGGTCATACCAGGGTATTTGGGGGGAAAGTTGTGATTTATCCTCGCAAGTGTAATTTTCCAATGTGAAAGAATGATTCGTGTTAGTAATTAACCAATGGCCATACATAGTTAAATCATTAGGCTCTCAACAATTAAATCACGTATTCAAGCTCGCTCCCACTTACTATAATCCTTAGTCTTAAAACCAAAAGCGCTTATTTGAGAACAGTAGTGCGTAAGCATATATTAACTGGTTTGAAGGTTCTTTTAATAAAAGTTTTCGAAGCTTTTTAAGTTGCTCTTTGGAACACAAGGGCTTAGTAACTACTTAGCTGAAAAGTATTCAAATGACCTCATTTAATCTATCAGAAACAGTCTGACCTGTATCGTCAATCGAAAGTGAAATGCCTGGGGGCAGAAAATTAAGATCGAAAAGAAGAGAACGAGAACAGAGAATGATTAGCGTGGAAACAAAGGAACGGTCAAGTCTGAAAAAATTGATTAACATTTTGCAAATGAAGTATTTACTGCATAGTTGTCAGATTTTACTGAGACTGTAATTTTGTGTTTGTGCTGTGCTGTATAATCAGTGTCAGAAACAATCAGTAGAGGTGAACTGCATGAGAAGACCATTGCTTATTAATCAGAGGCGATCTTTGTTTACTGATCAACAATGGAATAATCCAAACCATTACAGATGGAGCCGAAACTCATACCCGTTTTACAAGCTAATGGCTATCGAGTCTCTAGCTCAGTGAGCTGATAATGTGTTGGGCACTGGAGGTGAAAATTAATGAGTTCCATTCCTGGTGTGAAGTTCAGTTGTTTCCAATAAACACCATGTTGATGAATGAATTATCAACCAATAAAGAAAAAATTGTACGTAATTTGGAATTCTTAAAAGTTTTTTATGATTACTTAGGTGACAATTTTAGAATATTAAGATAGTTTTCCCAAGCAATTACAAAAAACCCTTTAAAAAACCTTAACTTGTTTTACATTCAAAACGACTTATTGGTTGTTGATCGACAACTCATTTTTCAATATTACGTTAATTAAAGATAAATTGGCTTGTTTTCATGCATGTCGTTTAAATAGAAAGAAACAATGTATGACAAATTTATCATATTCTGCAAATATGGTCATTTTTGCTTTGTTTAAACAGAAGTTAACGCGAATGGCTTACGAAAGTAGGTCATACATTTTACTTATGAACGAGCAGATATTGATACTTTCACAAATTAGATGCGGCATGATATACTAAATCTAACTTTTCAAATAAACTTACCTGAATGGTGGTCAAAAATATGCTCAATACCAGAAAACGCATAACTCTCGCCTACAGTTTCCGTCCTTCCGGGTGTAAGATAATCTGAAGATGTATCCTAAATTCGGGTATAAGAGCAATTAAAAAAGCCATTAGAGGTTTGGTAAAACTGAAAAATTTGACGATATTAAGCAAACGGCTTGATAAATGATAGCTGATTGGGGTAAATAACAAAATTTAGACTTGCGAAGCGATCTACAAACAAATTGTTACAAAATTAGAGGCTCATATATCTATAAATAATCCAATAACCGACATCTTTTTTCTAATTTGTGAAGTTAGAAAATTAGTTCGAAACCCATAAGTCCAACAATACACAAAACGGACTTAAATGTAATACCAATCCTATATGCAATTCAACTGGAAGTAAATGGACAGGTTCGAGGGGCAATTATTTTTTTTGTCTTGCATCAGCCATGGTGCACAGTGGATCTCAGTCTGGACAATTCATGAATCTATCCGGGGATTGAGAGAAAGTAGAGCAACAACTTTAAAAATGGCAATAAGCATACTATTCACACATATTCGGCAATTGAAATCACATAGCTACAGCTAGGCCACAAAAAAGCAAGTATAAAAATACTTACACATATAGACTTAGTCATGGAGTAGTTCAGTAGAGAAGGCAGTTTTGTACTTTCGTCGTAGCTCCTGGTCTTAGTTAAGCTTAACTGAGGTGAGGCGCACCTGTGAGGTTTGGCTGGACCGTAAAGAGAAAGTAATAGCTGCTCACGAATGTTTCTGTAGGCAACAAAAGACGCGACAGAAGTTTCAGCTGCATATTGAAAACTACAAGATAAATTAGGATGTCTGAAAGCTTCGTTGACACTCAGTGCGGCTTTTTCTCTTGTTAACTGATTTCTTCTTCGAAGATAAAGTTGCCTTAATTCAGTACTTGATTTTGTTATTGGCCTGACAGCGCTATAGCGAGAGTCCAAAGCCAGAACCTGTTGCCAAACATCACACGACATGGGTTTTTTGTTGGGCGTAGAACTTTAGGGATTGATTAAGCTCGAAACATTTAGAAATACGAACAGAAAACAAGTTGTTTATGGATTTTTGTGATCTCCAGTGCCGTGGATATTCAACCTTACTTTGAAGGCAACGATAGATACCAATACTGCAAGCTATCGTGAAGAGCTTCTACGATCCACACCCCTATATGAAGAACAAATAATATGAGAATATTTTCTTAGATGATTCATTCTACAGTAAAAACCGACTAAACCTACTGATACAAGAATCATAAGTCAAAATACAGGAAAGCCACGATAAGACTGTGGAAAGAGGTTAGTATATTTAAGATTTTTCTCGTAATTAAAGATAGAAAGCCATTTTTAGTATTACAGCTCTTACCCTTTGTACCCGTACTAAAATATTTGTTCCGTAAGCAAAACAGAATAGCTGCTTGAATCCACAATCCTGTCTGAAATACGTTAGGTTTTATGACCAGGTGTATGTTCACATTCTAACTCTGTAAGACTTCGTAAATGAACAAACACTGGACTTGAATGAAAGTATCTCACTGATAATTTGAAGTATATTATCACCACTATGCTCTATTTACACCAAAGTGAACAAACATTTGACCAGTGATTATTGGTAATAACTATCAAGTTGTCCATTTAACCCTCTTTTATAGCTGTACTGTGTATGATAGTCCACTTTTCAACAGTCCACAAGTACTAAACAGAAAACTGTCACCCGTAGTGAGAAATCCATACAGAAAAGGTGCATGCCTAAAGACGTTCGGCTGGAAATTATTCAGGAAAAAGGCCTGAGTAGCATGTTTATCTGGTTTTACAGTCATTCTTGAAGCCAGATTGATGTAATGCTTTGGCGTTGATTGTTGTAGTTCTTGAGATACTGGGAGTTATTAAGTAGCCGCCTTCGTATTAAAACCTCGTTTCAGATACTATAGCTCTAGAATGATTCGTAGTTTCTCAATATTTCATTCAAATTATTTGCTTTATAAAAATGAACAAATTTTTACGTCATTTTACTACGTAAAGGTTCCCTAATCTACCCTAGTTGGGAGGATGCCAAGAGAAGGGGAAGAATCTACGTGACTAGTGTCCGAATTGTTTGCAACATCACTAATAAACAAAAGATGTAGGACTTGCGCACATTTTAATATCACTTATCGTAAAGTCTGCATTCGAGCAGAAGCTTTCGCTTAACGGGCTTCCGTATCTGGTAGTAGTGAATCGCCGATGTTTCCAGACAGGAGCCTAGGTATATTTAACGATAAGAGAAATGGTGTCCTGAGTCCTTAAGAATATGTCAAGCTTTCTCTTGGAGTACTCCTGAGAAGTGTCTCGAATCACCTCAGCCAAGAGCTAGTTCAGGAATTTAACTGCTCGTGAAGTGTAAAATGTGTTCCTACAGTTCATTCTGCTATATTGCGTCTCTAATTTCTGGGTGTTAACCTAAGGCATGTGTTGGGACTAAGCTTAAATATGTATTTAAGGGGACTCCAAGAGTTTAGGATGGCATAAGTCACTAGGTCACTTCTGAGACGTCTATATTCCAATGGGTAAAAATTCAGTGATTTGAGGCGCTCTTCATAAGGTTTGGATTTGAGTTTCCGAACTGACTTTGTGGATCGTTTTTGGATACATTCCAGAGTATTCTTATCCTTTTGGAGTGAGGGCGGAAATACTGTTTCCGTACTTCAATAAGGGTCGAATTAAACTGTTGAGGATTAAGTGGAATGTTCTACCGTCGAACTGGTCAAAAACGTGCCTCAACGTTACCAGTACAAGGTTTGTTCGAAAAGTATTTTTGTTGCAGTTAGCAAAAAATTTTAGATCCTAGGGTATCAACACCTAGATATTTTTCCAAATTGGGATACCTCTGAAAGGTTACCTAAGTTGTATGCATAGTCTACAACATGTCTCAGATGGACTACTTTGCACTTCAAAGTGTTGAAAGTAAGTCCGTTCTTATACGCCTGGCTTTGAGTCGAGTCAGATCCTCCTGAAGTGACAGCTCGGTTGCAAACGTCTCTTCAGAATTTCAAATCGTTAGCGAAAAGTAATAAACCAGACGACACTTGCTGAGGAAGGTCATTTATATGAAGTAAGGAAAGAAGAGTTCCTAGCATTGAACTCTTGGGGCCGCACTAAGACACTCTGTAGCCTGGGAAAAAGTGGAGTTTACGCTGACCCTAGAAAGTCAATCATTCGGATATAAATTAAGCCACTGTCTTAGCTCTGACTTGATACCTAACAGCTTAAGCTTATTGATGAGACGTATATGATTGACCCTGACAAAAGCTTTTGCGAAGTCAAGGTATACGACATCAACCAAGGATGGTTGTCCATCTGTCTACCGCGGTCAGTAGGTTGGTTATACAAGAGTGACCCATACTGTTAGGGTGAAAGGTTTATGGATAGTAAGTAGTCATATGGATTATCGTATATCATAGACTCTATAACTTTTGAGGGTATTGAGAGAAGTGCCACCGGCCGGTGACTTGAAGGTTCACTGCGTCGGCTTCCTTTGAAAATCGGCGAAATGTGCACTGGCATCCAATTTTCTGGGACCATGTCTCGGCCTAGCAAAGATGAGAATATCACACTAAGCGGTTTCGCCAAGATATAAACCGTTTTTTCAGTATGGCAGAGTGAACCATATCCCGACCAGAAATGTTTTCGTTTAGGTACTGGAATTTCTGATATATTGAGTCAGTACTCAGGATTCACTTCTAAGAGTGCTGTTGAGTTGCTCATATAATTTGTATGTGACTGTTGAAATGTCTGAAAATATTGTTCTGTCAGAAGATCGGGCTGTTCTGCACTCCATTCCTGTTTATCTTTCGCTTTAGAACGAAGACATGCCAGATACTGCAAGCTTCTGGTCCGTAATTTGAGATGCCTACGTTTCAGATGTCTATATCAGATGAGTATTATTAGCGCTACTAAGTCCCCGCAACTCATTCATTTTGTTCGATAAACTCGCGGTGTTCGTACATAAGCGAGTGATGTTTTCGGTTTGAAACGTATGAATTTCCTCGTCTTCTTTGTCTGAATGAGTCTTATGCGAAAGGAATTGCAATTTAGCCGCACAATGTTTTCCGAGTGAGTGATCACTGTCCCTTGTATTTTTTTTCTATCATCATGAAGCTCGTCAGGATGTATGTCGATTCCAGTTGGTGACCAGCGTCTGTTGGCATGAAATGATTCGAGAGTGGCAGTCACAATTTAAGAGGCTATCCTCATTAAACTGGGTTTGGAATCCCCGTCATTTTCGCCAACTGCACCAACTGTTGAGCCGATATGTCAAAACATAAAATAGCCTTGACATGAGAAACAGTGAAAACCAAATAGCGAACTGAGGCAGAACTAGTTAACTATTAACCTGGATAAAACTCAAAAAGGTTATCTAACGAAAGCTGATCTCATGACAGACTTTCGGATCAAAAACCGTACTTCTTTGCATAAGGATACTGCAAATGTTTGGAAATGAAAGTTACGTTATGATAATACATTCCATCTATAAAGCGTGTACCCAATATTAGATATTTATATCAGCCCCTACATGTAAGACTGGATCTTAAAAAGAGGACGAAATCTAATGCTATGCAAAAATAAGACAGAAAACTAAGCTAAGGGATAAATGAACTAAACCTGGATAGGAGTGTAACGGTATTAAGGGTAGGACTGTAATTTATGGACGAGCCAATCAGAGGCGTTTAAGGAGCTTCAAGGTCACGGCGCTAAGTTCAAGGCGAGATGCTCACATTCGATCGTTTTACAGCAGATTTTAGAGAAGAGGTGATTGTTGAGAGACTACAGCAGATGGGACTATTAAGACGTTCCTGTGTTTGTGACTGCGGCAATCAAATGACCGCAACAGGATGTGCTGATTACCGTGATGACATTGTATTTCGTTGTACTATATGTTGGAGAAAAAAACCTGCTCGAACTGGCACTTTTTTACCCAGTCACGGCTAAGGCTAAGACAAATCATGATAATCGTTGCAAATTGGATCATAAATTCTCCAGTAACATTATCATCAAGGAGTACGTTCAACCTGGCACGACGATCTATACCGATGATTGGAAAGCGTATAGATGCCTCTCGAGACTTGGTTTTGTGCATCATGTTGTGGTGCACAAACGTCATTTTGTTGATCCAACGACGGGAGTCCATACAAACAATATTGAAGGCATGTGGTCAAGGCTGAAGTATTTTTTAAGACCCTACCACGGCTCCAGAGGACGATTACTATGGAGCCATATGGACGAGTTCTTATACCGCATGCACTATGATTTCAAAACTTCGGAACCTTTATCAAACCTTAACAAGTTTTTAAATCATGTAAAAGAAGAATATCCATTGTAATTCATCAGTTTTGTATAATATATTTTTACTTTATACTAACTCTCTTCTGATTGGCTAATGTTCTCAAGGTCACTTAAAAATTCGTTCAAAGGTCGTCCATAAAATAGAGTTTCACCGTATTAAGAATCATTACATGAGTTCTGAAAAACAACACAACAGTCAGGATTTGTAAATGCCACTAGTACGGCTTTCGCCGGGCTCACTGCGACATCACGTGTTATGCATGCCACCTAACAGTATGCAGGACGTGAAAACCACAATCCTTCGTCTAACGGTCGCTAATAAGTAATCAAGTACTGCAAATGCAACCTACTCGACAGCAATGCCTGTCGAAAAGTCGAGGGTGGCGCATCAATGTGATTCTTCACAAACCATTTGCGCAGTCAATTATCGGCCTGCTAGACAACCATTACGAGTTAGTCAGCAGAAATGAAAGACGCGATTCGAGTACAAAAGGGGAAGCATATTACAAAATGTGTTTATTCATTGTTCTGCAGGTTCAGATTGCGTAAGGCTTGTTCCTCTTTTTCTAGTATGTTTACTCTGTCTCCCTGCAATAAGGAAAACAAACTCACATTAGTATTGTCACATGTAATGATTTTTAATGCCGTTACAGGCGGTACAGTTGAAAATCGCGCCTGATCTCTATTTCAACCTTCAGTAATAAGGATAGTAGGTTGGTGAGCCTGTGTTAATCCTGTATTAATCCAGATTGCCTTCCATTGAAGTTCCAGCTTTTCTTTGAAAATTTTCGCTGATAAGGCTGATATCACTTGTTTGGATACGGCGTTCGAGTTGATGAAAAAAAGGGGCCCTACTTTAAGTTTATTAGATCGCGGTTTGTGAACATTCTTGCAATGATATCGGAGATTATTAGTGCTGGAGGAAGCAAAAAGATAAGATATATTAACACCTTAATTTAAATAAAGTTACTAAATGCCAGTATAGGGTCACTTTGCGTGCTATGATTCAATAAGAGGGAAACGTTGAGGCTATTTAATGCTCATAGTAAAGCAGTTTAGGAAAACCCTTCACTGATTTCGTCCCCACACGCTGAACACGCTCAAGTGAGTTAGTATTCCTAATCAGACATGAGCTAGCAGCTTAGATACAGTACTTTAAGTGTGGTCTTACATTGGTGGGATGTAAAATTCAAAACATCTCATCATAGCATTTGAATGCTTGGCAAAGTGACCATTGCGCACGATAAGCTTTGGCAGCAGCTGCGTTGCAATGTTTAGTTTTTTTCAAGCCATGACTTATTATTACTTCTAAGTCTTTATGTTCTTGAACGTGTGGAAGTGATATACCATCAATAATATAATGGTAACTAATACCGTGTCCGATGTACATGAGCGCACTCTTCCTAGAATTAACTTCTAAGCTCCAAACTCAAGCCCATCTAACTAATTCGTCCAAGCCAGATTGGAGACCAAAATGACCAGCCTTACTTCTTATTGTTCTCCAGAGTCAGACGCTATCCTCAAACAATAATATCGACAACGTATGCATTAGCGTAATCCATTAACATAGAGAAAGAAAAGTAGGGACCTAAGTTGGTGCCTTGGAGTACACCGCTTTTGACCGGCCTCCGCTCGGATAGCGTTCCATTGGCCCTCAGTCTCTGTCTGCAGTCACGTAAGAAGTTTCCTGTATAGCATTTGTTATTCCGAAGCCCGGCAGCTTCTAGATAAGACCTAAGTGTGGGACCTTGTCAAGTGCTTTGCTAAAGTCTATGAATATCGCGTTGACAGACAGACTGTTATCTAGGACTGTTGTCCACTCCTCTTTCGCAACAAGTAAGTTAGTCAAACATGAATGCTTGTTTCGAAAACCATGTTGCTCGGGAGTTAACCGATTGTACAAATCAATGTGACCTAGTTACTTAACCTGAATTATCTATTCAAGTAACTTAACGACTGTGCTTGTTGGAGTGATAGGCTGGTAGTTAGATACGATCTGTCTCTGACCATCCTTGAGTATAGGACTGACTTTAGCATCTTTTCAATCTCTAGCGAGTTGAGCGAGTGAAAGGAAAATGTTCAAGAGCATCGCATCTTGAAATAAAGTCCGCAAGAGATGACAGCAGTTGTGGATATAACCGATCAGGGCCCGGTATCTTACAAGATTTGAGGTTAGTGGTCAATGGAAGAACGGTTTCCTCAGTCAAATATACAGGTCATATGGCTAGCATCTCGATGTGATTAATGATAATAATCATAATAATATATTCTTGCATGAGCAGATACACGCCATTTTTACAGGCATGATCTACAAATTACAACACTTGTTTGCCCACAGCATGCTTCGCAAATTATTAAGTTTATAGTTGTTATAAAGTATACTCGTAGGGTGCTTGCTGTAAACCGTGACCTTGAGAAGATGCTCACGTCAGATTTGTTCCAGACGTCAGAAGTTTCATAGCTGTGCCCTGAGAGCGAATTTCTGAAGAAAAAAAAAGTGAGAGACAGAAGAGCAGCAAAGCACTTGGATATGAACGCCAAACATTGCTTAACATTGTGTAGTAGATCAGACAGAGGTATAATAAATTAGATTAAATTCATATTATCTCTTGTTGGAGTGAAATTAAGTCAGAGGCTCCATATTAGAGAATGTAGTAATAAAGAATAATGAGTTGTGTCGTTTAACAAGTTGAAGTAAGCTCACATGAAGGAAGGGAAGTCAAGTTTGGTACAAGGAAAGCGGTTTAGTAGAAGGGTGTGCATATAGAGGGTGAAGTGTTAAAAATACTAATAACTATATCTTTTATCGTCTTTTTTTCTTTCTTTTTAGTCCATCCGATACCAGCCACACAATCCTAGTGTAAAATTCCGAGTTAGTATGTTATAGGTTGTCGTAGTAGAATAGCTAATCCAGCATAAAATTGAAAACATGAGTCTGAGTGGCGAGCGTAGGAGGACAATCTATATCACAGGTTGACGGACTTACTCTGAATCATAAAGTGCCGAATACATACAAAATGTTCTGCCCCACAAAGATGGGTGGATTGAAGTCACCGCCGTCACCATCAATGCTTGCTGGCCAGTAACTCCGCCCTCCCTCCATTTGTGATGTAAGGCTCATTTGAGCTTATTTTTTGGATATATGTTATACCTCACACAATGCTCTGTTTCACATCCTGTTGGAAAACATTATTTCTATAAGTACCATTTTACAAGCTTATCTGACAGTTACAAGTATTTTTAATAATACACTTGGCTAAAATGGTTTTATAAAATCTCAGCCCTTGCCAGTTCTGATTCAGCTAGTAAGTCTGGATTTTTGTGTAACAGTAATCACGGAATACAATCATTACATTTTGTCCTCCGTTTAACGAAAGCAATCTTCCCGGACAAGTACGGCTATCATACACTAACTGTCTTTCGTAAATAGCACGGCATTTAGCCATGGTATATTTACACCTACATTTCAGGATTTTTTGGTATTCACACTTGGATGATTCGTATGCTGTTAACAAGAATAAGTCCCAGAAGTGTTTCCTGAGGTTTAACAGCTTTTGGGTTACCTTATTAATTTATGGAGGTCGATGTGATAGCTTATGTGTTGATCATGGGATAAACGGTGATGTGATGGACTAGAATGTAGCCTTAAACTCATTCCATCAGTCTTCGATCGATCCATCCGTATCGACCGACCAGTCAGTCGAGATATCACAATCCCTGATTGCCGAGATATTAGCTCGTCAGATGTTAGGTCGGGGCGGGGCATACACAGATTGGATACCATGTGTCCAAAACTCAAAGTAAAGTACATTGTGATCACTACTCGCTAGTGGAGGTAGGTGCTTAATGCAGAGACATCCTCACAGTGTTGTGTGAGGTCAAGATTCAACAATGACGGTTCGTGTTACAAGTCATTATGTGTCGGTTTTTGCGATACATTGCACAAGTACACACCGAATAACGTTTAATGGAAGGTCGCCATCGAAAAACACCTGAAGCTGTAAGTTCTATCCAGTTGATATGCAGTGCGTTGAAGTCTCCAATGATGAGACAGCATTTTGCCTTCACGAGCAGGTGTGTGCGAAGATAAAGTTGTCAACAAGGCAACACGAACTACTGCATATTCTTCCTAAATTTAATTGTACAATATGCGCCTCGGATACGATTGATTGTATATGAAAGTAATCCCCAACATATAACATTATACCTCCTGCCTTGCGACTGATAACTCTATCACTTCTAATACAGATCTAGCCTGCAATGATAGGAGAACAGTCTATATCTACGGTGAGCCAAGTTCCTACGACAACAATTATATCAAGACTTAATTCATCCACCATCAAACTTAGCTCGGAGGTTTTATTTCTAAGACTACGGACGTTCGTGTAGCACAAATTCGAGGTGTTTTGGGAATAATTCGATTCACTCACATAGATCATGGAAGCCAATGCTTCCGAGACCTGACTACCCGAAAACCCTTAACGTAAGGTTCATTTCGCCATACAAGTTTTCTAGTTCTTAACTCGATAAGAGCATTCTTCCTCTTGATTCGATCCTCAAGTGGCCAATCTAGTCGGATAGGAATATTTGAATCACGGGTTCTGTATGCGTTATTCAATATTCAGTCTCTTTATCGAAATTCCCGAATACCAACTTCATGATCTTTCTTGGTTGGGTTTCGCCTCCAACCCATTTACTAAGTCCTATCACTTTCGTGACGCGCACCCCTGAAACCTCTTCCAGCAGTACATTTCTGATGGCAGATTCCAATAACCCTAGGTCGTGTGCATGTCTTTTAGCAAGTTCATTGTCTTTCGACTCCTCTTGATTCCAAGCAGTTAAACTAGGAATGGGTTTAACTTCTTTGAAATTCGTGTTTACGGCTTTCGACCGTGACGATAGATCCAGTCTGTTAATTGCTGACATCTTATTGTTAGTTTTTATAGTAACAGGGTCTTGGAATTCAAGCGAATGACTTACGACAATGTTTGATGAGGCCAAACTTTTTCCATCGATGATAGGGTTAAGTAATGTTTTATTTTGGGACTTTGACGAGGTATTGTGCAACGCAAGGTGTGAGTCCATGAAGGACCTTTCAACTGAACGGGCGCTATTCTTGGCTATATTTCCTTTTCTTCTATGTTTCCGTGTCAACCACCTCCCGTCAGTCGCAGCATACACATTAGAACTACTCCATGCTGTAGAAACTTGGCCATCAGTATCTAATGGTGTATTGTTCATCAGCTGTTTCGTGATAGATAGCTCCATTGAGTGTTGCACAGTCGGGTGTCAGGTATGTGCCGTAACAGCACTTACGACACGGATGCATTCTCCGCTATCAGCACCCATGTTACCGGCACAGGCTTCATCAACAGTTCTGTTAGCCAACTCCAGAAGGCTAATTGTCTCTTGGATAAGTAATGTTTTGCTCGAACAACGAAACATACAGAGAAAGTGAGAGTCAGGCTCTGAGCATCTTTTAAAGGCAGTAGGACTTGGGCGCCTACACATCTTACGGATCCGCTTATTTCATGCATTCTTTCTTTCACAGATAATAAGCAATATGGCTGTCCACATTTGTGAGAAGAGCCGACCATCTTAAAAATCAACTAAAAATGGTAACAAAAAAATGGATATATACAAAAATCTCAAACCTTGACTGAATAAATCACATCAAAATCGACCAAGCATGCTTTGATGCA